TCCCAATATTTGGTATTTTCTGAATATCTTAGAGCAAACTCATCTCCTGGTTCTCTGTTTCACCTGTTACCCCCAGGGATAATTCATTCTGCTCTCAACCCAAACCTCTCTAGGTTTATTGTAATCCTGGAATTCACACTTAATATTCCCCACTCCTGGACATAAAGTGACACCAGAATAGTGGAATCAATCATAAGTAGGTTTCATCCATAATGGAAGAACAAATTGTTTAATTTTTTTCCCTTTTTTTTTCCCAATTCGATTAAGTTTGAAGGTTTAATTAGATTTTTGTGGCGATTTTCGGGTTGTTAACTTAAGTGGAGAAGATGAAATGCAAATAGGTGAATACAAACAGGTTTGCTAAATTAGTGTCAAAAATTAGCACAGTGATTATTTTTACCAATAAACACGAATTTTCAAAGCCTGTACTCAGGTAAAGTTTTAATTGAGATGGTTTAGGAATCAGATTTTCTCTGTGTGTTTGTATTATTATTTTTTCCCAAGCCATCCCAAATTGTTTCTAATTAGGGGCACGATTCCATTTGCCTGGATATTTATTCCTGTGTAATTTGTTTCAACTTAGGCAGCACAGGAGTGATGAATTCTTTTCATTACCTCCAACTCTCTTTGATGGGCTTTGACTGGCTGATTATTCACATGGAACACATTTCCAACAGCCTGTGAGTAGGGAAAAATTCCTGAAAATAAACAGACTTTTGAAATACACTGACAAAAGTTCATTTTCGAGGGCTTTCATTTCATCTTCGGACACAAGGAAATTAAAATGGAATTACTTGGGGTCTGGTTTTATGTCTGCACTTTAAATAATATCAAATATTGGGCTGCAAAGGTTTCCCAGAGGGGACACTCGTGTCACAAAGGGAATCCCCAGCCCCTCACTGAGTGATTTGGGGTTGGAAAATCAATCCTAAACTCCACTGGCAGCTGTGGGAATTCTTATTTTTGATGACGAAAGAAGCACGTTTGGGTTGGGAGCTAATAAAGGACATTTTTTGCAGATTTCCAGGGTATTTTCCATCATGTGGGACCCCCAGCACACACATGGATGTTTCCTATTTCTCCATATAAATATGTTGCCAGTATTTAAGCCCATAAATACATTTATAAACCAAGGTATTTTCACTGCACTGCTCACTATTGCGACCCTTTGTTTTCAAGAGCATTAATTATATTTATAAGCAGTGTATAAAGCTCACCCACCCTCTTCCCATGGCTGCCATGGATGGAATCACCTCTGGGAACTTTTTGCAGGTTTGTTTTGGAACTTGGAGCAGATTGAGTTGGTCAAAAATCCCTTCCCTGGAAGTGTCCAAGGCCAGGCTGGACTGGACCAGGAGCAACCTGGTCTGCTGGTCATGGCAGGGGCTGGGACTGGCTGATCTTGGATATCCTTCCCAACCCAAACCATTCTTAGGGATATAAAATAAATTTTTACCAAATTAGAGCCAGTCCTCAGGATATAATTTTTTAAAAATAAAGCCGCATTTCTGTTAATTAGAATTTTTGTGAGTTCTGGTTGTTTTCCCGCACAGAACCTAAAAATCCCAAGCATTCCAGGGACACACTGATGCTGTTTTAGCATAGCTGCTGAGCTTTCTGTCCTGTAAGCACGGAGTTTGTGGTGATTGGGAGTGGGGCTGCTCCAGCCCCATCCCCAGGGTACAGCTGTGAGCAGCACTGACAGCAACGAGCCATGGAGTGCCCAGGGGTGCTGAGCAACCACCCAGGGAACAGAGGGCACTGCATGAACAGCAGGGGATAAAAGATAAAAGGCTGGAGAAGCTGTGAGCAGCACTGACAGCAACGAGCCATGGAGTGCCCAGGGGTGCTGAGCAACCACCCAGGGAACAGAGGGCACTGCATGAACAGCAGGGGATAAAAGATAAAAGGCTGGAGAACAACAAGGGTGGATGCTCACAGCCTTCTGGAGTGGGGTGGTGTTACTGTGTGTGGGGTGAAGCTTTCTGAAATTGCATGGTGACACTCTGGGTGTTGTGGCTGTCTCAACTGTGACACTAATGCAGTGCAGGATTTGAAAAATATAAATGCTGAAATTCTAAGGCATCACCAGAACGTGCTTCAACCTCGTCATGGAGTGGTTGGGTGGGAAGGTGTAGGCACAGAGTTTGAGTTTTGGGAGTGGGGCTGTGGCCGAGCCTCATCCCCAATGGCTACAGCTGTGAGAAGCAGGTGAGCAGCACTGACAGCAACGAGCCATGGAGTGCCCGGGGTGCTGAGCAATCACCCAGAGAACAGAGGGCACACAGGTGAGGGTGTGAGCATGAGGGGATAAAAAGTTGGGCTGAAGGACAACAAGGGTGGATGCTCGCAGCCTTCTGGAGTGGGGTGGTGTTACTGTGTGTGGGGTGAAGCTTTCTGAAATTGCATGGTGACACTCTGGGTGCCGTGGCTGTCTCAACTGTGACACTAATGCAGTGCAGGATTTGAAAAATATAAATGCTGAAATTCTAAGGCATCACCAGAACGTGTTTCAACCTCGCCATGGAGTGGTTGGGTGGGAAGGTGTAGGCACAGAGTTTGTGGTGACTGGGCGTGGGGCTGCAGCCCAGCCTCATCCCCAGTGGGTACAGCTGTGAGAAGCAGGTGAGCAGAAGGTGATGAGCCATGGAGTGCCCAGGTGTGCTATTAAAATGGAATTACTTGGGGTCTGGTTTTATGTCTGCACTTTAAATAATATCAAATATTGGGCTGCAAAGGTTTCCCAGAGGGGACACTCGTGTCACAAAGGGAATCCCCAGCCCCTCACTGAGTGATTTGGGGTTGGAAAATCAATCCTAAACTCCACTGGCAGCTGTGGGAATTCTTATTTTTGATGACGAAAGAAGCACGTTTGGGTTGGGAGCTAATAAAGGACATTTTTTGCAGATTTCCAGGGTATTTTCCATCATGTGGGACCCCCAGCACACACATGGATGTTTCCTATTTCTCCATATAAATATGTTGCCAGTATTTAAGCCCATAAATACATTTATAAACCAAGGTATTTTCACTGCACTGCTCACTATTGCGACCCTTTGTTTTCAAGAGCATTAATTATATTTATAAGCAGTGTATAAAGCTCACCCACCCTCTTCCCATGGCTGCCATGGATGGAATCACCTCTGGGAACTTTTTGCAGGTTTGTTTTGGATCTTGGAGCAGATTGAGTTGGTCAAAAATCCCTTCCCTGGAAGTGTCCAAGGCCAGGCTGGACTGGACCAGGAGCAACCTGGTCTGCTGGTCATGGCAGGGGCTGGGACTGGCTGATCTTGGATATCCTTCCCAACCCAAACCATTCTTAGGGATATAAAATAAATTTTTACCAAATTAGAGCCAGTCCTCAGGATATAATTTTTTAAAAATAAAGCCGCATTTCTGTTAATTAGAATTTTTGTGAGTTCTGGTTGTTTTCCCGCACAGAACCTAAAAATCCCAAGCATTCCAGGGACACACTGATGCTGTTTTAGCATAGCTGCTGAGCTTTCTGTCCTGTAAGCACGGAGTTTGTGGTGATTGGGAGTGGGGCTGCTCCAGCCCCATCCCCAGGGTACAGCTGTGAGCAGCACTGACAGCAACGAGCCATGGAGAGCCCAGGGGTGCTGAGCAATCACCCAGGGAACAGAGGGCACACAGGTGAGGGTGTGAGCATGAGGGGATAAAAAGTTGGGCTGAAGGACAACAAGGGTGGATGCTTGCAGCCTTCTGGAGTGGGGTGGTGTTACTGTGTGTGGGGTGAAGCTTTCTGAAATTGCATGGTGACACTCTGGGTGCCGTGGCTGTCTCAACTGTGACACTAATGCAGTGCAGGATTTGAAAAATATAAATGCTGAAATTCTAAGGCATCACCAGAACGTGTTTCAACCTCGCCATGGAGTGGTTGGGTGGGAAGGTGTAGGCACAGAGTTTGAGTTTTGGGAGTGGGGCTGTGGCCGAGCCTCATCCCCAATGGCTACAGCTGTGAGAAGCAGGTGAGCAGCACTGACAGCAACGAGCCATGGAGTGCCCGGGGTGCTGAGCAATCACCCAGAGAACAGAGGGCACACAGGTGAGGGTGTGAGCATGAGGGGATAAAAAGTTGGGCTGAAGGACAACAAGGGTGGATGCTTGCAGCCTTCTGGAGTGGGGTGGTCATGGGTGGATGCTTGCAGCCTTCTGAGGTGGGGTGGTGTTACTGTGTGCTACAACACCAATGCAGTGCAGGATTTGAAAAATATAAAAGCTAAAATTCTAAGGCATCACCAGAACGTGCTTCAACCTCGTCATGGAATGGTTGCCTGGGAAGGTGTAGGCACACAGTTTGAGGTTTGGGAGTGGGGCTGTGGCTGAGCCTCATCCCCAATGGCTACAGCTGTGAGCAGCAGGTGAGCAGCACTGACAGCAATGAGCCATGGAGTGCACAAGGGTGCTGAGCAACCACCCAGGGAACAGAGGGCACACAGGTGAGGGTGTGAGCATGAGGGGATAAAAAGTTGGGCTGAAGGACAACAAGGGTGGATGCTTGCAGCCTTCTGAAGTGGGGTGGTGTTACTGTGTGTGGGGTGAAGCTTTCTGAAATTGCATGGTGACACTCTGGGTACCGTGGCTGTCTCACCTGTGACATGTGCTGTGACAGGATGGATGGGTGGATGGAAGGAAGGAAGGATGGAAGGTGTAGGCACACAGTTTGAGGTAACTGGGAGTGGGGCTGTGGCCCAGCCTCATCCCTAACGGGCTGCAGCTGTGAGAAGCAGGTGGAGCAGCATTGCAGGTGATGAGCCAGGAGCACTGACCAGTCACAGAGGGAGCAGAGGGCACACAGCTGCACTGCATGAACAGAGGGGATAAAAGGCTGGGCTGAAGGACAGCAAGGGCAGATGCTTGCAGCCTTCTGAGGTGACGGGATATTCCTGTGTGTGGGTCAATGCTTAAAGCCTTCTGAAGTTGCCTGCTGTGTGTGTGGTGGCCCTGTGCAGCGTTGTGAGCTCTGTCCCTCCCCTCAGATGCTGCTGACGGAGTACCTGGACATGAAGAACACGCGCACGGCCTCGGAGCCCTCGGCCCAGCTCAGCTACGCCAGCTCCGGCCGCGAGTTTGCCGCCTTCTTCGCCAAGAAGAAACCCCAGAGACCCAAGAACCCTCTCTTTAAGTAAGTGCAGGGGTTTTTAAAGCTGTGCCTAAGCTGCCTTTGGTCCCTGGAGTGCTGCTGGTAATCGCAGTTTCACAGTGTGAGAGGTGTGGAAGTTCCTGGATGGGGATTTAATGCCCGGAGCTGAAGATCTGTTTTGGATTCAGCGCTGGGTTTTAGAGCTGAGCTCTTCCCAGGGCTCATTCCAGGACTGGGAATCCCATTACAGGAGCTGTTGCAGAGCATGGAGTGATCCATTCTGCCTGTCTTTGTCCATGGTAAATTCAGGACCTGTTAGAGGGAGCGATAAAGGGCACTGGACAAAGGGAATTAAGATAACTGTGTAATTACTGCATAGACTAAGCACTTAATCCTGTCACTAACTCCTTTAATTCAGTGGTCAGGCTGCAAAGAATTAAGTGGTTGGGAGGAGAGTGTAAGGGAGAGGAGGATGAGAGAGGCTGGGTGGCCAAGGGAAGGATTTGGGAGAGCAAATTTGTGCAGCAGTAAGGAGTGAGGAGTTGCTGAGCAGTGCTGGTGGGAGAGGAGATTCACACCTGGATTTGGGGGAGCTGTGCTGGAATTTTCTTCTCTTCCCCCACCTACCTGTGCTGGCCATTCTCTTGGGTCTCTTGAGGATTATGGAGAGGACCTAAAAGTGCTGTTTTGTGCTCCCAGTAGATGTCCTCTCATAGTACCTGAGATCCCAGTTAGAAGTCCAAGTCTTCCACTTTGCTCTCCCAGGATGAGCTCTCCTGCAACCCCCTGTTATTAGAGGTTAAGTGTTGCCTCCTTCCCCTGTCAACCCATGATTGTTACCCCTCACCCTTTTTATTAACTCTCTCGTGGCCATTTTGGGCTGAGAATTCCACTTGGAATTTACTCTGACCTGCAGAAGGATATTGGAGCAAAATAGGGCTGCTCATCCCATGTCTGTCCCCGAGCATCCAAGGACCCGAGTTTGGGGTTGGAGGACTAAATTTGGGATTAAAGCTGGAAGAATGAGGATGCTGTGGCTCACCTGGAGCAGGCTGAGGCTGGGTAGTTTGTCAGCAGAGAGGAGGTGGCTGTAATTGTTCAAAGGCAGGTGAATCACCTCGTGGGAGCAGCATCTCTCCCCGCTCCCGGCGCCGTCCCCGCAGTGACAGCAGCACTTACTGGGATCTCTCATTTGCTTATCTGTCAGCTGTCACCATATCTATGGAAATCTCCCTTGAAATGGAATTTCTCAGCCCTCTGAGCTCTGTACGTGTTTGATGGAGTGTTATTCTTGTCTCCCCTCCCATCTCCAGTGCTTTCTGTGCCAGGTTCCTTTCCCTGCCTTTCCATTAGCTCTGGCCAAATCTCTCCTCTTGTCACCACAAAAATCTGCATTTCATTCCTCAGCAGTCTCTTAGGGCAGGGCTCCACCTCGTGTTTTGCTCGCAGGTGGATGCAGGTGTTGGTGCTGTGTCCTGTGGTAGCTGTGAGCTCATTTCATTAATATTAAATACTGAGCTAATTTAATTAATATTAAATATTTCTGCTAGTTATGTCCTCAAGGAATAGAGGGAAGTTGTGTCATGCTCTCAGGAAATCAGGAGCTGGTATTTAGAAGAAACTTTGAATGCTTATTTCCTTTAAAATGGGTATAATAAAAAAAATATTTATTTAGTTGCGATGTTGACTTGAAAAAGAAAGCTTCAGATGAAGGGGAATTTGGGTAATGTATGCCATCATAAACTTGCTTTTTTTTAGGCTTTCTTCTGTTCCCTAAAGTAGCCAAGGGCATGCTCAGGTGGCCAGATCAGTTTTCCAAGATGGAAATCAGGAAATAAGACAGGAGTGAATTGTACAGGCAGGAGCTGAACACCCAATAAATCAGTCCCAGACTTGGCTGTAATTCTGTGCAACTCTAAAGAAAACAGAAATGTTTTGAAAGCTTTGTGGGAGGATCAGCATTGGGAAAGGAGTTACAAGGAGTTGAGTGGGAACAGGAATGTGGGGAAGGGCAGCTCGAGGAGGTGGCAGAGGAAGGAAAATAGGGGACAAAAACTGGATGGTTGTGGAAAAGAAGGGATGAGGTCTGGGTTTAGTGCCTGGAAAGACCTGTGGGATAATGCTGCTTTTATTGTCTCACTGAGGACAGAAAGGAACACAGAGCCAACAATTTACAGCTCATTTAATTAAAATCAGAAGGGTTTGTTGTATTTTGATAAATCATTATTAGTTCAGTCGCAATAACACCAACACTCAGAGTCCAAATTAAAGCAGAAAAGCCTCATTAATAGTAATAATCTTAACACTAGTGGCCAGGAAAGCTGTGAAATGCTTTTCCCTGTCTCTGGTGTGGTGCTCGTGTTCCCAGTGTCCCTCTGGGCAGCACTGAGGCCGATTCCACCTTCCTGAGCTGCGGGACTGGGGAGGCCGTGAGGAGTGCTGCAGCAAATCCTCAACATCCTCAGGTCTTCTTGTGACAGAAGTTTCCTTTCCAGTCTGGTCTCTGATGCCTCAGGTTTTAGCTTTTGTATATGTCCACTGGGGCTGTTTGAAGGTGCTCTGTCCCCACCATGAGCTCCCTGGTCCCCAGAGCCCATCCAGGCACTCCCAGGAAATGGATTTTTTTGCTTCTTTTTTCTGCTAAGGTTGGAATTAAATGTGTGAGACAGTATTTCTTGTTGCACTCAGATGTTTATTAGTTCTTATCTATATTACAGTCTCACAAGCTGGGAGTTTTGTAGTCCTTAATTTTGATAAGCTAAAAATGAAGACATATCTCTTTCTTACAAGGTTTTTTAAGGATAAGCTGTCTAATTAAGAAGTGTCACTTAAATTGTTTCTACTTTTAACCCAATAACTAACTGCTTGTGGCTCGTAATGGGGACTATATTTAATTACACAATAGTACTTAAACTTATGAAGAAGGTAAAGAAGAATGACCAGCTTCTGCCTGGAAACTTCTGTCTTGCTTTGTATATATTCTAGAACCTGAAACTCTTAAGTTTTCCATCATGTGATATTACACACTTCTATTAAAGCTATGCACTTATAATCTTAGTTTTAGCATTCATTTTTGGAAGATTTTTCTACAGCCTCAGGTCAATGCAGAGTTCTCCTGGGGGTCAGTGCCTGGCAGCACAGAAAGTCTGGAATTCTCAGTAACCCGAGTTCCAACACCCAGGATTGTTTTTTTGTGGATTTTTTTTGGGAAGTGCCTGCCTGGAGCAACAGCCCTTGGCCATGGGGGTGTTCCCAGCACTCATCTGTGTCAGGCACAAAGCCCATGGCCATGGGACACTTGTGGTCACAGGGACATTGAGCTGTCCTCAATCACTGAGGTGTCAGATCAGGGCCCAGTTTGGGGCCTTTTACTGCAAGTGCCAAAAATCCTCTTGATGGGGCTGAAATGGTTGGAAAATATTTGGATTGGTCCTTATGGATTATTAGTGCCATACAATAAATAATAATTGATTGGTCCTTCATTTCCAGGAGAACAATATATTTACATTTTATATGATGAAGAGCTGAGTGGTGCTCACAAGATGGATGCTTCCAGTGCCTGAAACTGACTGAATTCCTTTGAATTCCAGGTTTGAATCCTCATCCCATGCCATCAGCATGAGTGCCTACCTGAGGGAGCAGAGGAGGGAGCTGTACAGCAGGAGTGGGGAGCTGCAAGGTATGGAAAGGAATCCTTGGTAATTGGATAATTCCCTTCTGCAGGAGCTGGAATATCCTGCCCAGCCTCTGGCAGGTATTGATCTCTGCTCTGAGTCACTCCAAGTTTGAAGCTCTTGTTCATCATGAGGTTGTGAAGGGTTTCTCTTTATTTTCTCAGCATTTTCAGCTGGAGCTCGAGGTCTTAAAATACTCCTAAAACAAAAGGTGAAATAGAAACAACCTCACCTTGAGCACTGGGATTGGGTGTTGGATATTTGTCTGTGTCCTTACTGTGATACTTACCCTGCATTGCTTTGGGAGCTGAGCTCAGGCAGCTCAAATTTGAAGCTGGATGGGTTAAAGTGACCAATTCTTTTTGTTTTGTACACTTGAGGAGCTGCAGGGCGTTTGCAGATGGTGAACCTGGGGACTTGGGCTGCTTTTGCTGATTTATATTGCCCATGGCAGGTGCTGTGTGTGCCCAGGGAAGTGTCCCCTGCTCTTGCATGCCATCATTTCCCTTGTTTTTCCTGGATGATCCAGTGGTTGGGCTTGGCAGCAGAATCAAGGGAAATATCCCAACACTGCCATGATCATCTACAGCAGGGCTAAATTCTTTTTTATCATCTAATCCAGTTTCTTCCTGGGCTAATCATAACAAGAAAATAATTCATGTCCTTCAAATATTACAGTGATGACCAAGGGCAGAATTTCTCCTGGAACTCTTGTCCTTGACAATTTTCAGCTGGCTTTTAATTGACAATGTTCTATAATTTACAAGAGAATTTTTGGATGCCTTTGTGTTCCCTTCCTCCTTTCATAACCTGTCCTCAGAGACAAACCCACAAGGGTGTGAAAAAAAAGCCTTGAGAGGCAGAGATTGTTTTGGTGACAGCTTGAGTCACTTGGGTGGCTGCAGAGGTGATCTCTGCACTGATGAGCAGGGTTGTAATGCCTCTGTGGTGAATTCTGAGCTCCTTTTGGGTGGACTGAGAAGGAAGAAGCTGAGGGTGACAGCTGCCCACCCCCTGATCCCACAGCCTGTGGGAATGAAGGGATGGGGAGGTACCTGCCAGCTAAACTGGGATCTCACCTTGCACACACCTGGGAGGTGTGGAGCTCACAGCCCTCTGCCTTTTGGGATTCAGGGGCTCACCTTCAAAAGTGTCACACGGCCAGGATTGGCTGGGAGATGTCCCCTAGGTCGGTGGAATGGTTCATGTTCCATCCCATTATTGGGTTTTGTTCCAGGAGGATTTAAGTAGTTCCTTTTCCATAGTTTTGAGCTCCCTGTTACAAACTGTGTGGGACAAGTGTGGGCTAAAAGCCAAGAAATTTTTGGCTGTTGAGAATTTTGAGCTTTTTGGGGCCATCAGAGAGCCTGCAGCACTTGCTCCAGAATTTCCCATCCCTTTGGGATGAGTCTTGCCTTCTGTCATTCCCAGTTGTCCACGTGGCTTTAAAAAAAAGCAGAGAACAGAACTGACCTTCTCCATATCTGTGTCCTCCTCCAGCTGCCTCGTGGCTGGGATTTGGGGGTTTTTGTGGTTAGTGCTGTTACACTGAGGGTTTTAAGGAGCTCCTGTCCAGTGTTTGGAGCTCATTTAGAACCAGATTTCATGGAAGAGTGATTCCTTACGGATACAAGACAAATCTTGGGGCAGCATTTGGGATGAGCAGGACACTGGGAGCATTTCCAGGAGAGGAGGATGCAGCAGAACTGCTCAGGGAGCCTGGGTGGGCAAGAACAAAACCCAGGAGCTGACAAAGGAGCAAAGGACAAAACAGGAATTAGTGTGGAGAGGGCCAAGATCCTGCTGCCCTTTGCAGCTCAATTGGAAGAGCCTGGATGTGATGCAGTAGGTGACACAAAGTCAGTGTGGGGAGGCAGTGGGGACAATAGATGAGATGACTTTGCTGAGATCCTTTGCAGTTGAACCATCAAGAAAAGTTTCCCTTTGAACTTCACGTTAAAAATGCAGTAACCTCTGTCTCTGTTATGAGCTGCTGTTCCCTTTTAGGTTGCTCATTAATCTTCCTGAATCCCAGACCACAGCAAGATCTGCATTTGGATTTTTATATATATATATTTATTTTTTTTATTCCTTTTAAAGAGAAATACAATTTAATTGTTCAATCAGGTTAGTGGAAAGCAGGCATGTGACACTCTGTCTTCTGTGAACACTGCACAGTTTCTGTTCCCAACAGCCTTATCCACAGGGATGATTTTTCAGTGGCAGCAGGGGGAGGGTGACTTGTTAGGGAATCTTTTTTCCTGAAAAGATCTTCAAAGAAACATATGCATGAAAAGAAAGGAATTTATAAAAGTTTAGCTCACGCTAACTTTTCGACATAAGAATTTAATTTAAATAGCCTTAAAAACGTGTGAAGATCAGAGTGATGCTTTGTCATTAACCCCTTTGATTTGGACTGAAATAGTGCAGAGCATGAGGCTCACATTATCCCTCAGTGGGAGAAAGGGACCTGCTGCAAGTGGTTTAGAGCTGGAATTCTTCTGTCTCATTCCACTGAAATTGCAGGAGAAAGACTTTGGCCAAGTGTTTTTCCCTTGAAGTTGGCCACACAAGTTCTCTGACAACTGTCATTTAAAAAATAAAGGTGGGGGTGAATACAGAAGTGAAATATTTCCTTCTGGAGTGGTACAGTCTGGGGAGAGCTGGGGGTGCTCACCTGGAGAAGGGAAGGCCAACCCAAACCAATCTGGGATTTTAGGAACCTTCCAGGTTGCTCATCTCTGGCAAAGGATGGCGAATGTGACAGTAAAACAAAGCTCTGGTACAATAACACAATAAATTATAGTGGATCATTTTTAGAATTAAAAATCCACTGATTTTTTTTTTTTTTTCCTGCTGGCTGGGTGATAAATGGAAAGCCTTGAATAGCCCTCAGACACAAATCTAAATTTGGGAAGTGAATTTTTGTTACTCCTCACTCTACTGCTCATCCACTCTCCACCCAAGCCTGAAAAATTCCTTACCATAAGGTTTTAAGCAATTAAAGAAAAACAACGAGAAACTCTGCTAATTAAGATTTTGATGCCAAGAAATAGCAGCAGAGGCACGGAGGATCTGCTATGACAAGGGCACCATGTAAGGCCAGGTCCAGGGAAAATGCTGTTATTTGTAGGTGCCTTGTTCCATTTGGATTCACCCAAGGGCTGCCTCAGGGAGCCAGCTGTGCTCGGCAGTGACAGAAACCAAAGCTGACATTTGGGATAATGAAAATTCGGTTCAGCACCTCTGCGAGATGTGGATGATAATGTGTTGTCAGTCAGAGGGGCTGGGGAGGGGGAGAAGGAACAGGATTCATGTCTGGTTAAAGAGGATGTGGTGACAAGTGGCCTGTGCTGGTTTAAAAAATATTCCTTAAAGAAGGATGGGGAATAAACCAGCGCAAAAATCAGCTGAGGAGGGGGAGCCGATGTGATATCCCGAATTTCCTGTCACACCACTGCTTTTGTCTCATGATGAGCAGGATCACAGTTGGCTTTGAGCTTGGGCAGGGCTGGGGGAGAAGGCAGAGCAGGGATTTTCTGGGTTTTGCCAGCTCTGAAGCAATCAGCTCCCCCAGCCCTGCAAAGCCACTCCTGATTTCCTCGGCGTGTGTTTGTCCCGGTGTAGCGGATTAGAGACACGGCCTCTTCAAAGGCTGCCCAATCAAGGAGGGGTTATTAAAACCAGGCTGCTTTATGACTGAGAATTAATTAGAGCAGCATTTTCATGCAAAACATCCAATTTTTTGATTAGCAATGGAGCGGGGTTGCAATTAACACTCGAGGAAGCTTGAATTTCCAGCGTTTTGATTCTCAGGAAATGAGATTATCAAACTGGGGTCAGGCCCTTGACAGCAAAAGGGGGATTATGTGTAAGAAAATCGTTTGTTTCTTGATTTTTCCTCAGAGATTGTTACTAAAGCTACAACAGTTCAGAGGGAGATACCTAAAAAAAGGAGGCAGGAGGGTCCCTTTGCTTTGTCAGTGCAAAGAGCTCCTGGTGTTGGGGAGAGCACTTTCGCCATTTCATCTACAGCAACAGGTTCCCATTGCTGGGTGGGGTCAGCCCTCCTTTTCCCATCCATGTGAGTTTGTTTTCTTCCTTTTCAACGATGTTTTTGATCCCTTCCAGGTGTCTAAATGTGTGTATTGCTGCTTATTAAAGGCTGACCTCAGCCAGCAGTGGAGTCTGTGAAAAAGGATCAGGGCATCTCTGGTTAATCCTGGAGAACATTTAGGGGGGTTGAATTTCCCACTTAATTCTTGTCACTCCTCAGGGAGAGGGGAGGTGTTGAAAGTCAGGCTTGGGCTGTGAAATCTCTGCTTTGTGTGGGGGAATTTGAGCAAGGTAAGGCAGGACAAGGGATTTTGGTGTCAGGGCAATATTTGGTGTCGGTGAGCACTGGAATGTCACTGTCATGGAATGGTTTGGATTGGAAAGGACCTTAAAGATCACCCAGCTCCATCCCCATTGCCATGGCAGGGACACCTCCCACTGTCCCAGGCTGCTCCAAGCCCCAGTGTCCAGCCTGGCCTTGGACATTCCAGGGATCCAGGGGCAGCCACAGCTGCTCTGGGCCTCCCCACCTGGGTCTTGACCTCAGGCTCCTCTTTCTTTAATCTTTAACCCTTGCACTGTTCTCACTTCAGAGCCCAAACACCCCTCAGGTGCCACATGGTCCTTTTGGGACAGGAAAACCAAAAATAGGGGCATCAAGGTAGTGTGTGATGAGAGGAGCTTCTCAGAGATGGAGAATCCATGCTGGAATAGTGCCTCAGGTTTTAGGTTTTGTATTTTTCACATTCTGTGCTACTGTAGTGTGTGGGACTGGGCTTCACATTATGGGATGGTGAGCTCTGTGCACAGAGCAGGGAGACAAAACAATTCCTGCTCCAGCTGGGCACCAAGGACAAATGATCCAAATCTCAGCCCAGGAGCACAAACCCCGTGGGCTGGAGAGAGAAAAGCAAGCAGGATGGGAGTGCAGGGGCTGAGCTGGAATTGG